CGACGATCGTTGGAAGGGACCCACTTCATACCTCTGAGAACTGATAGGCATAAAGCTCAGTGGAGCTGAAAAAGCTGAGAGCTTTTGACGCGCTCTGTATTCATCGTGGCATGTCGTTTCGTCCTTTTAGAAGCGTCGCATTGACGTAACCGCTGGATGCATCGTTGTCTAGAAATTATCATTGGCGCAAGATGTTGTCAAGTGTTCACCATGTGATGAGCCACGAACTGAAGGTCGAGGCTTTCTGAAAGACCCCGTACCAATGATGCACTATGTAGAGCTTGGAGCAGTATGTGGCCCTGGGCCTAGCAGGATTACCCAAGCTCACGGCTGAAGCCTCGGCCAAGTTCGCGTTTCACACGTGTTCAAGCTACCACAGCAAATGCTCCAGTCTTTTGCGCCAAGTGCTATCGCATGTGGGCCAATACTCACCCAAGCACTGCAAGCTCATATCTGATGTACAATAGTAGCCACATTCCCAAAATCTTGAGGCAACATCGACATAGATTTGGGACGTCGCGTCGATCAATGTGCTCATGCTGCTCAAAGTATCTCAAGTCTCGACTCAAGAAAAATCCCAAGCTGCCGAAGACTTCATTCAAGCCAACCACTTTCGACAGGTCGTTTGGATTTGATAGCTCTCGCTCCAAGTTCAAAAACGAAATCAATGCAGGCGTGCGAGTCCGAGCAAGTCGCGCAGATCAAAACTCTTACGGCGACAGTTGATTCGCTCAAGCACGAGCTTCGCCAGGTCAAAGCCGAGGTACAATCTACGCTGGACTTTGCCAACATCATGCTTCGAGCTTGTAGCTGCAAACGCTGCAGCGGAAATTGTTGCGGTCGCGCTTCGAGAAGGAGCGCCTTGAAAAAATTCTCGACAGAGTTACCCGCGGCGTCGGCGGGGACGGAGATGACAAAGACGACGCCCCTATCGATGCAGCCAATGACGAAGATGACGAGGACAATTTTCTTTTGCTCATGCACAACGTGGATGTAGGTCTAACAACTCGGCATATCGACTTACGCTACTCTAGAAATATCAGCAAGTGTCGTCGCTCGAGAACACGGTGGAAGACCTCGACAAGCTATTCGCTGCTGTGGATGTAGAAAACCACAACCAGCTCGTGGCACTGGCTGAGCTTGACAGATACATCGACTCGAGCATGGTTTCGATCCTCTGGAAGCATCAGCCCAAGCAAAATCAAACGGGCTTTGTCGCCAAAATGGTAAACTTCTCCTCTTTGCGTCCAAGTGCCATTACATGGTTGCATCATTTGCAGTTTTCAGTCGAGTCGCAAGCCACCCAGACAGACGATCCAGCAAAACTAACAGACACAGACACGTTGGGTCTCGACGGTACGCTCACGTACGGATTGCTGCATGTATTCTCAACCCATTAACTAGACGAAGTGTCGCAGACGCCAAGGACGCGAAAAAAATTGCTGGTCATCCCGACGTGCATTCGCACGCTACTGGACGCGGTGCCCCGTGTGCCCAAGATGCTGCTCAAAAAGTCGCTCGTGCACACGATTTGGATACTGTAGACAACTTGTCTCCGTATATGCAGAAAATCATGTCTTCTCGTAGACTCGTGCGCAAGCTCGACAGCGAGCGAGCCAAACCGTCGGGGTCTCTCGCTGTTTTCTTGCGCGACTATTTCATGCAAAAGTTTGGCCTCAAGTCGCTCGCCGACTACCACATGGTCGAGCTCGTAAAAAGCTGCCTCTTGTACCGACGCAAGCTCGAGAACGCCGCGAGCTTGTATGAGTCGGACCCAAGCGGTTGCAACTTGGACTGGGACGACTGCCGCATCCTGCTGTTCGGTCGATGCATTGACGCTTTTCCGGACGAGGCGCTCTCGCACATCGAGTCCGAAGGTGTTTCGATCTTGCTCGACTTTCTCGGAGATCTCCTTGAACTCGACCCTGCTTTTCCGTCGCTGCAAGCCGTGCAAGTACGCACCAGCAACTCTAGGTTTAGGGTTGGTTTTAATGCAGAGGCTAGGACCTCGACGGGGCGGTCGCCGTGAGCCGCGAGGTCGCGATCATCGTATGGCGCTGCCATTTTGCGTACATGGGACCCGATGAAGAGACCAAGGCGTTGTATACGCTCGGCGAGCATGACCTCGGCCAGCCACACGCGGTCAACATGGACTGGCTACTCGCCTACGCGCTCTTTACGTGGCACATGTTTGAAGTTGCCGAAGAGGCCGCGATCCGATCGGCATTTCGCACCGTCTTGCTGCACACGAGCGGCCCCCAGTCGACCAACTTGCTCCTGCAAATGGATGGGTTGCGGAATATTTGTCCGAATTCAAATCTTATGGGTTCTCCATAGGTTTGTGGCAGCCGTTGCCAGCGTTTGGCCCGAGTGCGCTGAATCGACGGCACAGACGTTGTACATGGACATGATGGCAACGAAGCGCGAGAGCTTTCGCATCGCGTCCGAGCGACGCCGCCGCGATAAGCAACGCAGCGCGCCGTCGTCCGGCCACGTCCCTGCGACGACTGTCCTCGGCATTGACGGCGTCTTTGAAGAAGAGTTTGTCGCTATCTTGGCCAAGCTTCGACGGTATAAATCATGTTTCAACGATATATTTTCAATCATGTCTACGTATAGGAATCAGCGCAAACGCTGGGGGATCCGCACACGCGGTGTGCCACTCCACGCGATAAACAAGAAGGCGTGGCTGGGCGGCTATGGGCATCCTGTGAGTGCGACAGGAGCCGTGGACCCGTACTCGCTCAAGCATGGCATCTCGCTTTAGCTTGCATTGCAACTCATGCCTCTATAATAATCGATATATAATTTGTATAGTTTTGCTGCTCGTTTGTGCTTCGTAGGGCAAAATCAATGTGTACTCCGTGTTGTTTACGCAAACCTCCAACAACTACCCAACAATGGCTTGCGCCTTCTTCTTCTTGAGCTCCTTTCGCACTCGCGTTGGCTGCGTGTCCATGAACGGCTCGAGCGCAATTGTCGCCTTGTAGAGGTGACCAACGAGTTCGATGTCGACCGAGTGGCCGGGCACTGCGAGCTCCGTGGGTACATAGGCAAAGGCAATGCTCTTGCCCACGATATGACCATAGCCACCGCACGTCGTGTTACCCACGACGCGTCCGTTGCTCCACACCGCTTCATTGCCCGCCGCATCGATGAGTCCTACCATTTGGAGGTTTGCCACAAAGAAACTGGTCAAACATCGTACGGTGGCCCGGCTTGGGCGGGTCGTTGTGCACGTCCAGCATCACCAGTGTGCGCGCGGGTCCGTCCTTTGCAATCTACAGGGCATGGGATCATCAGTAAGTGCTCTCTCGTGCGAAAAGCCACCTGCTGCACTGCTGCTTGACCAATGTAAGGCGTCTTCTTGTTGACCTTGACGAAGAAGCCGAGGCCAGCCTCGAGCGGGTTGGTGTCCTTGTTCATATCAAGGCCCCACACTCGGAAGCCCTTCTCGAGCCGCATCGCGTTCACGGCCCACGTGCCGACGTCCCCGACGCGTAGACCGAGCTTATCACCGGCCGCCCAGAGCGCTTTGTACACGGTAGCCACCTCGTTGAGCGGCACGTGAAGCTCAAAGCTACACAGTTAGGCATTATATACAATAAATAAAAGTGGCTGGTACCCGAGCTCGCCCGTGAAGCTCAGACGCATGACCCGCGTCGCGACGTCCGCAACGTCCATGGTCGCAAAGTGCATGAACGGAAACGTGGCCGCCGAGACGTCCGTGCGCGTGAGGTGCTGCAAGAGGATCTCGGCGTCCGGCCCTGCGACGCCCAAGACACCCACGTCGTCGGACGTGTTGCGCAGACTCACGTCCTGGCTGCTGTATTGCCATTCGTCCAAGTACGATTCCATCCATCTATAAACACGATATAGCCATGTCGACACAAGTGGTCCTACCGGAGATCGTGGAGCTCCGAACCCGAGCCCGTGACGACGTAAAAGTGGTCGTCCGCGATGGCCGAGATGGTGAGCTCGGCCATGACCTTGGCCTTGGGCGTCAACATGTGGCAGACGCGGACCTTGCCCGTCTACACGACAGCATGAGTGGACGTGTAGCCTCGCGTCCGACCTCTGGGATCGAGTTGGCGCAAAGCGACTCGAGAAAGTGGCGGGCGCGGGGTCCCGACACCTCGTACGTGCTAAACGCACTGAGGTCGGTGATGCCGACGTGCTCCATGACGACGTGGCATTCGCGCTTCACGGCGGCAAACGCGTTGGTGCGGTAGAACGACGCTTCGTGGCCTGCAGCTGCAACGTCAAATGACCAAGTACACGCACAACATCAGCGCACCTTGCTCGTCAGGTGTCGCCGCAAACCAGTGGGGTACCTCCCAGCCCGCGTGAGCACCAAACTGCGCGCCCTTCTGCCGCAGTAGCGTGTATAGGGACGTCGGACGCATGTTGCGGCCGCGCTTCTTGTCAATGTACGGGTGCGTGATCAAATTGTTGTCGCCGTAGCTTTCCCGAGCCTTCTCTGCGACGTACGCCGGTGTCGTCCACGTACCGTAGCTAGGACCACCAATGAGAGATCAATGTCAGCACCAACAACGGACCGGGACGGGTCGATCTCGGTGAGGTCGTAGGGCGGCTCGCCGTCGAGGATCCAGCGAGCAACGTAGTCGCCGCAGCCGCCGCCATGTGCAATGCCGTACGACATGCCGTTGGCAACAAAGATGTTGGGCAGACGCTTGCTGCCGTGGCGCGGCAGCGGCCCCACGATCGGGAGCGCGTCCGGCGCGTAGCAGATGGGACCACAAGTCACGTTTTGAATGCCTACGAGAGATATTATTTCGGATCGTGCACTCAGCTTGGCGCGTGTACCGGCGTCCGCAAGGCTCGGCATGCGCTCCATCGCAGCTTCGAGGTGCGGGAAGATGCGGTCGACGTCCGACGGAAAGAGCTCCTTGCCAAAGCTCGGGGGCACGCCGGTCGCCTGCCAATCGAGACGCACTTGCATTTTGGCTGCCTACGAGAAAACATGAGTCGTTAAGGTCAAATAGAAGGGGTATTGCCTCTTCGTAGGGTCCGATGAGCATGCCCGTGCGCTCTTGGCGTAGGTAGTACGAGTTTTCAAGGTCGCGGATCACGGGGAGCTCCGATGGGAGCGCTTGGACGTCCGGGATCGAGTTGGTGATGACGTACTGATGCTCGATGCTCACGAGGGGCAGGTCGACACCGAGCTGTTCGATGAGCTCGCGCCCCCAAAACCCCGTGCAATTGACCACCTATCGCCAGACGTCGTCACGCACACTAGCATGCATCCTGAGGCGTACGGTCTTGGCGTGGAGCGTCCCGTGCTTTGTCGCAACGTCCCACGAGCCGTCCGCGCGCTCGTGCAACGACAGCGCCGGCGTGTGCTGGAGGATCGTGGTCCCGTGCTGCCGAGCGCCCTTGGCCAACGCCATCGTGACGCTACCCCACTGGCGCGTCAGTCGCGAAACGCAGGATATAGCTGTACCTGTAGGGATCGATGTGGCCGTCGCCCTTGGTGTGGATACCGCCAAGGATCCCGTCCATGTTAAGGAGAGGGTGCAGCACCGCGATTTCTTCCGGCGTGATGATTTTCTGGTAGCCGGGGTGCCAGTTTTGGCGCGACTGCTGGTACCTGCACAGGCACATGAGATAGAATACGCATATGCATGGGATGGAACGTACTTGGCTTCGTCCATGCGCTGCGGCGTCGTGCAGATGCGAATGCTCCCAGGCTCGTGGAGCCCGACGCTCTATAAGTCGTGTATCTAACTAGCTTTCGCGCCATGGCTTGTGGCCGTACCGCGCCTGTCTCCTCGTACAAGGTCTTGTACAGGTCGAGGCTGTATTGGTGGAACTTTTTGAGGTTGATGCCCGGGTTGAAGTAGGTGACGAGGCCGGCCGCATGCCACGTCGAGCCGGCCGTGAGCTCCGTCTTCTCGAGCAAGATAACGTTCTTCGCCCCGTATTTGGCCAAGTGGTACGCGATGCTCGTGCCCACGACGCCTCCGCCCACAATGACCACCTACATAGCAAGCTCGAGCCATGGCGTTTCGCGTGTGCATGGCGTACATCCGACTCGGTGTCCACGACAGGCGAGGAAGCGACGCTAGCAGCATATGCATGAGGTCATGGGCAATGGCATATCGCGTCTACCTCGCAAGGCTGCGCGATGGCGGCGCGAGTCTGCGCGTCTTCACAAGGCTTCGCCACATGCTTCTCGGTTGGCAAAAGATAGAATGTGGCGGCTTCCATCGCGTCTTAATTTGCAATATTTAATTTTCAATACAAAGAACAAGATACAGCGTCGAAAGAGCGAAAAATTGACAAGATACCAAGTCTGATCGTGGTCGACTTCAACCTGAGAAGCTCGCGGCGATCGGCAGGCACGCTAAACGAGGTTTAACGTCGCATTCGTTGCGTTAAAGTTTAGGAATACGAAAAAGACGTACCTAGCGTGAGCTCAAGAAGGTCCATCGGTACCAGAGGAAGCGTGCACAGTCCTTCCCTTCGCGTTGAGTATGTGGAGACCTCGTGCCTTGCAATGAGCCGACCCGGACCTACAATATCCATTGGCCGAAATAGTTGACTTTTGGACCAATCCGTGTCGATGCATGACGATGAGCGCCCGACCGCCAAACTTGCTGTGCTTCATGCAGAGCTCCGCAATGCGATGGTCCCTGTGATGGTCCCATGTGAAGCCGTTTTGGCGCGATGCGAGTCCGGATAAACCAGTACAAATAAATCTTTGCCGGATAAAATCGAATCCACGCGACTGCACAGCTTGACTGTGGATCTTCCAAACCGCAGATTTGAATTGACAACATGAGCGCGGACCGGGGCTGGTCAGACGGCAACTACCTCAACGACAGCGACAAAAGCGACGACGTTATCATGATTATGAAGGCCCATCACCCGCCGTCGAGAGCTCGCTCACCTTCACGCTTGTAGCGTCCCCCAACCCGACCCGTCGCGACAGCGATGACATGGACGACGAGGAAGCGTCCGAAACGGTACGTCCCGTGTTGCAGTAGAGGCTCGTGTAACACAATGACGACAGGGCAACGCGACTCTATCGAGCGACAGTGACGCAGCGACGTCGAGCGCCGGCGTTGGCGCGAGGTACGCTTGCTTGTGACGACACTACCCGTTCATTAATCGATGCTTGTAGACCCGGCGTTGAGGACGGAGACGCGGACGAAGGCGGCGACGAGGAAGTGTTCGATGAGGTATGCCATGTGCCATGTCATATTGCACGTGGCAGCGCATGAACCAAACATTTGCTGTGATAGAATGACACGAGCGACCTTCCACCACCCAAAGGACAGCGACTGTTGGCCTCACCGCGTCGCGTGAGGTGCGCGATCTGGCGCAACCGTATGTGTGTATATTGAAGCCTAGCGTTCATAGCCCGTCGAGCGGGCAGATCCCTGAACGACTGGTTCGCGCCGACGCATCGAGCGAGATCGCGATCCAACTTTGCGATGGTGTATGTGCGCGCTACAGTGTAGCTCTTTCCAATTGTTTCTGTATCGTAGCTCGCGTCGACTTTTGCCGTCTTCGAGATGAAGCAACCCGACTACTCAACGAACCTACGCGACGAGTAGTCGGGTTGCTTCATCTCAAAGATGGCAAGAGCTAGATGAACTACTCTTGATAATATATTGCACAGTTTGCATAATCATTTGTCAGGTGCAGAGTCGCTACCATGCGCTACCAGCACTACATTCAATCTATCCGCTTTGAGCGCATTGCTCTTTCATCCAGAACGCGCGTGTTGACATTAATCGAATTTGCAAGCACGAGCTTACACGGAAGTGATGACATGGACCTTCTTCAACAGTATCTTTCAGCACCTCGAGATCCCCAAGATCGTCTCCGGCCACCAGGCGGGGGTTTATGAAGACGTGCGCCCAGTCATTGTCGCCTGCCGGGAGCTCGTCGAGTTTGACGCCACGGGTTCAACATATACGTGTACGACGTGTCAAACCCCAAGGCTTTCGCGCCCGACTCCAAGTAGCCCGGCGAGCGCACGTCCTCGCTGTATCTTCGACATGAGGGCCAATACGACGAACGCCTGCCGCTGCACGTGGCCATCGCTGGAGGTTAACGCACCTGACCAAGCGCCTCCTTGGCCCGACCTCGGAAGACGCGATCACTTGGCCTTTACGAAGGGCTACCTCGAGATTGTTGAGTTGCTACTGGATGTGCGAGCGAACGCTCCAAAGTCCATCGACGCATCAACCTTGCGAGTCGTCCGACAAGTACGTTGTTGCATCACACCACGTGAAGGCTGCCACTAACAACATGACGTACTAGGCGCTTTGCGCTTCGATTCCCACGTGATATATTCTTTGATATTGTGACCAGAAGGGGCAACAAGGGTCATGAACTGCTCCAGCGGTTTGGACTGGACCCTTAGTCGTTGATGATTACTACTTCTTCAACACACCTGAATCTGTTGTTCGAGCCGCAATCTGGCTCAACGCGACACTCGAGAACACGACGCTCACCCTCGATAGCTTTCCGTGGGGTATGTACCCGCGCATCTTGGATGGCATCGAACGCCGAGTCTCCGCGCAGCTCGTCCAAACGCTGCTCGAACGCGAACTCGAGTGCTCGACAGACGCCATGGAACGGCGCGCGAACGGTCATTTCAACGTCATCCATTTTCTCCTCAAGAGCTGCAGAAGGGCTGCAGAAGGGTGTACAATCAACGCCCTCGATGGCGCCACCCGCTACGGCCACCTCGACATCATTCGCTTACTCATTGAACAGGGCACCGAAGGCGCGTCGCCCAACATCCTCGACCGCGCGGCCGCCGATGGTCACCTTGAGGTCGTCCAGTATCTCCATCGTCCCAGCTCGTTGATTGCACCGTCCATGCTGTCGATTCCGCAGCGTCAGGCGGTCACCTTGGTGTTCTCAAATTCCTCTTCACCTTCGATTAGGTCGTTCAAAATGCGCTCAAGCATTGGCATTTGACACGCCCGACTAGCGTACCAAGGACGAAAGACCACCCAAACCCTCCAACTAGCACCGAGCGTGGTGGCGCGTGCGCCAGCGCTGCAGCAATCTGGTAACATTGTCGACTGAACGTGGGCTTTGTGATTGGTCATGTCTTCGCGACCGACGCGACGGTCACACTTGGACAGCTCCAGAGCAAGACAGCGTACCAGTATATCGTTGTGTCTATGATGCAGCTGACAAACGACCAATGTATATGCGAGGTTAGGTCAACTGAAGTCATCCAGGAGATTCCAGACCTCATGACTCGCCAGTTGGGCGAGGCCAACTAGCCAACGTCCGTGTGCGTGCCAATCGACTACGTTCGTCACATTTCTCGTGTTGGCTCCACTCCCAAACGTCCACAAAGCATTCGGATTTGAGTCTTACAAATACATGTCGGTGGTTCGGGCAATCGCTTGGGAGAGCTTGGCATCGAGGCGCTGGGCCTCGTCGGCGCGAGGTTGCGCAATCTACACAAGACGTGTTCGTCTTCATCAATAAAAGAACTGTGGTCACTTACGTCTGCAGGTAGCTCGTACACAAACGTGTCACCGGCCGAGTCGCCGACAATGATACGCTTCCCGTCTGCGGTCCAGCGCACCTTGTTGAGCGCGCGGTCGCTGACCTTGATGTCTGCGACGGGAATCTACGCGGCTCGTAGTTTAGCTCTCGTGTTAGCACTCACAAAAGACCTCGGTGTCGTTGCTGATGTTCCAGATTGAAATCTTGCCCGAGCCGTCGGCCGTGCAAAAGAGACCCGGGTGCACGGGCGACCACCGAATGTCATAGACGTAGTCGTTCGCGGGCTCGAACGACACGATTGGCTTGTAGTCGCTCTACGCCAAACGGTCCATGAGCAATCATCCAGCGACAAATGATTTTGTGGTGTACCTTTTGGCTCCAAAGTCGGCAACTCCAGTCCACGGACGACGTGAGAAGCAGCACGTCTTGGTGGTGTGGCAAGAGCGGGTTGTAGTGCATCGACGTCATCGGGCCATAGTGCGGCTTGTCCTTGGAGAGCGAATGAACGAGCACCTCGCGCGCTTTCACGTGGTTTTGGTTCTTCGAGTGGTCGTCCAGCTGCGCACTCAGGAGCTCACCCGATTCTAGTTAATACAAGCCTTTCTCACTCTACCATTCGACGAGATAGAGTGTTGTTGTTACCTGTTCCGATCGTAAACGTGTTGGCGGCACTGCCTTCGCCCTTTTGGAAAGCAAGCGCCGTTACGGGTACCTGCATCTTGCGCACGGGGGCGCTGGCCGCAGCCACCGGCGCCGAGACGCGTAGATCGAGCACGTCCACTGGCGCGTGGAGTTGATTGACGTTCCAGACGCACATGCGGCCGTCCGTACTCGCCGAGACCAAGCTACATAGTATGAAATTGAAGTCCATCGGAAAATGCTGCGTAATGTGTACCTAAAGGCAGACTTGGAGCCGACGACGCTCATCGAGTAAATAGGGTGCGTATGGCCATGCGTCGACAGCGTCGTCTTTTGCACCGGCGTGTTCTTGGCCCGCGTATCCCACAAGACGACCTATGCCAGCACTCTACACCTAATTGTAGAAACGTTGCAGCGAGGTACCTGGCCCGAGTACGTGCCGCCCATGAGCACGTGACGGTCGAATGGATTGAAGCACGCGCTCATGACCTATTTCGTTGGAGCTCCAACATTCGCACACGCAGAAGACCAACCTGCGAGTTGCACGTAAACTTGTACTCGGGATGCGTGGGCATGTTGCTGGACCAGAGCAAGACGACGCCTTCGGCCTCGGCCATGGCGTCCTGGACGTTCCACTCGACGGGCGACGTGTCCATGTCGTCTTCCAAGTATCCGCGCGCGTTGTACGCAACGAGACAGAGCTCCTAGACCTCGCGTGTGAGAAGGTATCCAACACACTACGATCGTACGTTGTAGAAGGGCGAGATGTCAATGTCAGTGACGGCGCGGCCCTTGGTCCACTTGGTGTCGCGGTACACAAAGAGCTGCTTGCACTTGGACGCCGTCATCGGGTGGTCGACGTCGACCATCGACACGTCGTCGTCCTGGCTGTAGTCGCGCATGACGTCAAACGCGCCGGCTTGCAGCAGCGCGCGCTCCATGATGTTGCCCGACTTGGTCAAGAACGACTCCATCTCTGCACCAAGCAGCTGAGAAAAGGCCATGTAAAGGAAGCGGCGCACCCGTGGAGCCCAGGATTTGATCGCGCTCGTCCTTGGGTGGCATCGCCGGCTTCACGGGCGCAGCAGGCTCGGGTAGGAGCTTGATCTTGCGCGGCGATGGCACGGGCGGCGGCTGGTTCGGGTTCGACGCGTCGGGAATCTCGATCGTTGGCATCGACGACATCTATATGCGCTCGATGATGAGCGCTCGAGCCGTCGCCATACAGAATCATACGGGCTCATCCGGAAAGTCCATCGGGTCCATCCACGTAGCCTTGTCGTACATCTCGACTTGCAGAGGAAGAATGTCGATCTGGCCGAGCTGCGTGACCTAGGCGCAGAGTTGCAGCCTTTTCAGGCAACAAGATATGGCGTACGCTCGAGATCTTGGCCATCTTCTCCGCAAAGGTGAGCGATGGCGCTGTGGCAGCAGCGACAGCTTGCGACGTCTCTTCCATGACCTTTTGCTTCTCTTCCTCAAGGATGTGCTGGAGGAACTCCTGGAAGGGCGGCGCGACCGTGGCCGGCTGCTCGACAGCGACGTCCCTACGTCGCTGCGTGAGGCGCAGGCCCATGACTGCCATAGGGAGGGGTACTTGACATGCGCCTTGCGCCGGCGGATCTCCTCGAGCTTGCGCTTCTTGGCTTCGAGCTCGGCCGCGTGCTTGGCGCGGGTTGCTTCTCGGCTCTCCATCTCGTGATCGCAAATTCCCCCAGACAGGATACGTCGACCCTCGGCATTTTAATGACCAAAATATGCACCTTACACTCACTATTTGTATTCATCATTAAAACATTGAAATATTATGGCCCACGCGTGCGAGGATAAACCCACCCAACACGCCAGCACGCGAGCCACCACCGTACGTTGTTGCGACGATCAGCGAGGATAATCAAAGAAAAGGCCACAGCGGATTGTACAATGTGACTAGCAATAGGTCAAGGACCCGCCAAGAGCGCTCGATTCGCCCTTGGTCTGCGACCTGGCCGAAGGAACATCGACCGAGCGTAAAGTGGCGTGCGTTTAGCCTAATTGTATGGAAGTCGAGCAGCTTTCACCGCACGAGATCTTTCACACAATCTTGACGCGGTCGCATCGCGCCAAAGCTGTTTGTTGAACTGCCTCGAGTGGTCAAATAGCTCTCCTTGTAGAGAATGCTTCAAACAACAAGAGCCGAAGTGCTACATTGCGACAAGCCAATCGCGAAGCAGCAATGGTCTAAAGCTCGGAAAAGACGATCCAGCGCGTCGAAGCTTCTGACGTGTGCCATGGACTTGGTGAACGCTCGTGTGCTTGATGACGCATAGTGCGTCATGTTGCTGCTCGTTGGTCAGCGTGCCACCACGCACAGCGAATGTGATGGCGAACAAAGTTACTGCGAGACACCTGCAAGGAGGACCTTCGGGCTGCCCAATGCATATATCACCGCTGCAGATGCCAACACAGATCACCACCGAGCTTGGACAAAGCTGTTCGTGTAACCAGATAGGTATTTCGAACTCAAATATCGAAGTCTGGAAAGTTGCCGAGCGTTCGGCGATTTGACGCAAACACAGACAGCCCCATGCGACGACATGTCGTGGTGCATCTCCCAGCTCTGTCTCGAACGAACGAACACAAGATCCAGTGCTGATATCCATCCAACTTTGAGAATTTCCGCACATTTTTCGGAGGCTACTTTTTGCTGCAAGTTTATGCTCCAGCGTCACGAGGCATATCCCATCGCCCCATCGCATCATACAATAGCAAACGCACGCCGAAGAGGAAAGAGGGCCCTTTGCAGCGGTGAGTCCCGTCATCAGGATCACTGCCAACATTAGGTCGCAAATGAGATGAAACGGTCATGTCAATGACAAGGAACTGGTATATACACTGTTTTAATCCATGCACTGTATTTCGTCGGGTACTCAATCCAACGGTAGACAAGCGTGGAGGAATCCGGCGGCAAAGATACTGCGCTCGAGCAGTAGCTTGCCCGTTCTTCTTTGCTCCCTTCAAGGAGACCGAGCTTCAAGTTGGCGCCACTGCGGCAACGACGGACTCACCACCAGCTCTCACCACCCGAAACGCAAGTCATCCTCAAGTTGCTTGTTCATACTTGGTCGATTCATTAATTACGTTTACGGGCTCGATCGATACATGGGTTAAATAAAGGAATGGACGCGAGCGAGCTCATGCAAACACGGAGAGACAGATGGAGATGTCGTCGGGCTTCTTGTGCGTGAGGCTTGCCATGCGCTGGACTTGGGCGAGCGCGTAGTGGTGCGTGTACGCCTCGGCGGGACAGGCCGCGATGCTCCGGTCAAACGTAGCAGGTGTGTCCTTGAGCGCCGCCTTGAGCGTCGCCGCAATCTTCTTTTCCGCGCACCCGCCGCTGCGGCCGACGCGACCGACGTACTCCTTGGCCGCCGCGACGCTGAACGGGTACTCCCGCCAGTCGTGGCCGTCGTTGGCCAGCGCTGCGTGCGCAACGCTCGAGCACAAGGACGAGGGCAGCTCGGCGCTCGCGTGTAGCATCTTGGACTTGGCCGAGAGGCGCGGCGGATGCGACGGTGCAACTAACGCGCAGAGGTCGGCTTTGAACACGTTGTCGCCGACGCCGTCCGAGAAGGTGACGAGGCGATCGCCAGATTGGAGGCTGAGCGTCTGGACCATGAAGCGCGAGACCGACTTGGCGTTGACGACCGCCGGCGCGTTGAACTCTTTCAGGACGGCAAAGGTCTCGTAGACGACCCGCCCTTTCCGGACGACAATGGCCTTTGAGTCGCCGACGCAGAACGTGTAGAGGCACCGTGCGCGGCGGTCAATGTAGCACACGACCAAAGTCGACGCCATCGTTGGTGCAAACGTGAGCTGGCTCTGCGCAAGCGATATCGCCGAGAGCACGCGGTCTTGGAACCCCGTGGTCGAGCCAGCGTTCGGGCACTGCACCAAGAAGGTTTCGTACTGCACCAGCGCTTTCTCGACGCAATCGACCAGTGTGCGCGCCAAGAGCGCGGACGGGCTCTCGCGGCTCGGCCGGCCGGTTTCCTCCGACCCGCTGGCCGACACGCCGTCCGCAACAACATGGTAGTAGCTGCCAACCGCCATCGCGTCCTCGCCGTGGTAGACGTAGCTGGCGCTGCCATACGAGACGTCCAGCGACGCCTTGCGGCCAAAGAACCGGTGCAAGAGCGGCTTGCGGCGCTTGAGCGTGGTCATGTTGGCGCCGTGCTCGACGACGGGCGAGTCGTCCGTGACGACGGTCGACGTTGGCGTCGTCGGGAGCCACTCGTCCTCGTCGTCCGTGATCGTGTCACTGCCATGGAGGAGGAGGACCTTGGCGCGGAGCGTCGGGGATGGCATGCGGCCGGCCGAATATTTTTGATTGTGAAAGGAACATTTCGTGCACCCAGAAGCAACGCTCTGCGGCGTTTGATTGGCCAAAAGGCCGTCCCATACACGGTTCAAGTTTCAACGAATGGGCATTTCACAGCCATGTCCCGGGTGCCATGGACCAACAACTACGGTAGACGTCAACGATCTTCCCGCCCAGCGAACGATCGAGCGTCCGGTCGGACCCACCTGCCAACAAAACCAGCCAGAAACACAGCCAAACAATGACCACCACGCAGCTCCGACCCAAGCCAGAACCCAGGGACACCACACCACACGACAAACAAGAAGCCGAGCCCAAGAGGTAAACCAGGTAAAAGGAAAAACAGCCGACACCCACTTTTCTTGCAGGACCTGCAAGGGAGGACATCATGCAAGATGGCAAGTGCGCGAACGTGTTCGTTCTTGTTGGGCAGTGGGCAGTGGAGCCTGCTTCAATGATACTTGAGACACTGTCGGTAATATGCAGGGGATATTGAGAATATGTTGGGATCTCAGTGCCCGTGCACGCTGAAGCAGCAACGGACCAAGCACGGACTTGGACTCAGAACTCTCAGAACGCAGCGATGCTTGGAGCAGGCCGCCGAGATGGTGCAATCTCTGCAGCCCCCTTCTTCTTGGAGGAAGCCAGACAGGCGTCGCGTTCAGCAAACGCAGTCTGACCGTAGAAGCCGGGAGCAGGAGACACGCAGTAATGCATCGACGCACGCCATCTGGCGCTGCCCCATCACTTGCGGCCATCATCACCCGGTGTCCCGGTATCCAGCATGCAGAGCAAGCGAAAATCACACACAATTTATTGCTGGTCGCCGTCTTCAAAAAAGGAAACTAGAGGTCCGACATGTCGTCGGGGCGTTCGCTCGGGTGGATGAGGCCGGGCACCGCGAGGCGCGACGCGCGCTCCATCTCGAGTTGCTGCTGCGTCATCGCGAGGCTCTCTTCCAAGAAAAGGTCGGCGTTGTCTTCGCCCGCAAACTCCTTGACGTTGACGAGGAAGTCGCGCAGGTGCTTCTTAAAGTGCGCGAGGTCCTTCCCGAGGTCAAAGCAGCCGACGACAAAGAGCCGCACTTGGTTCCTACACTCAGTTCTGAGTCCTTGTGCAGACAAAAGCAAGCACGTACGACGACATGTTGGGGAACGACGTGCCAATCATGTTGGCCACATATTCCTTGAGGAAGGCCGCGTTCGTCTGGTTCGGGCCCATTTGCGGCGGGTTCGGGAGCGACTCCCAGAGCGGGATCGACACCTGGTTGGACTCGACGATCGTAAACATGTGGCGCAAGATCGCCGCGTGCATCTTGAAGCCAAACTTGTGCAGGCGGTCCGTGAGCACGACCAGGATGTCTTGGAGCAGCGAGAGGTAGAACGACCGGTAAAAGCTCGCCGCGATCACAGGGCTTTCGCGCACGTTGAGGAGGAGCGCGTACAGCGTTTCCAAGCCCTAATCGACAATAAGATTTCCATCAGAAAAAGTAGGATCGTGGCGTACCGTGTCGGCGACGTTGCGCTCCGTGTGCTTGAAGGCCCACACGATCGAGTCGACGACGAGCTTTTGGTGCTCGGGCGGGATCGTAAAGAGCGCTTCAAAGCAGTAGTCGTTGACGGCCTTGAGCAGCTTGAAAAAGTTGACGCGATGCTCCGGAAAGTCTTCGAAGTTGCGCGTAATCATCTGCAGCGTGCACTCAAACACTGCTTCGAGCATGCTCGGCGCCGACGGAGCGATCGACGCCTTGAGCTTGTTGAGGGTCATCGCGAGGAGCGTGAGCACTTCTGCCTCCTTCGCGCTCGGCACCGTCGTCTTGTAGTCCGAGAGGACCACCTCGAGGAGCGCGGGCAAAAAGTGGTGCGACAGCGTCTTCCGGCCCGTCTCGTCCGCCGACGAGTGCTCGATAAAGGCCTCAAAGAGGCGCAGGCTCTCCTTCTTGGCCGACCGCAAGAGGCGGACTTCGGACGACTTGGTCGCCGTCTCGCCGCCCTGCTGCACCGCCATCGCAATGCGGTGCGTGTACGTGCGGTAGACGTTGAGGAGGTCCTGGAAGATCTGGCCCATCTGCGAGTTGAAGCCGTTGGGCCCGATCGCCTTGCACACGTTGCCGTTCGTGCGGATAATCTTGACAATCTCCTTGACGACCGTGCTGTCAAAGAGGATCTCGACGTTCTGCGCCGCCTGCTGCATGATGCTCGTCCACGCCTGGTTCGGGAGCTTCATGAGCTCGGCGAGGAGCGTGTCCTTGCGCGCGGGTACGTTCTCGGCGGCCAGCATCGACGCGACGGCCTCGTAAAACGTGTGCAGCTGGTGCGTCTGGAGGTCGCTCACCGTCTTGGGCAAGTCCATGAGGAGCTCCTCCACAAACGGGTACGGCTCGGAGGGCTGAAGAACGACAAACTTGCGCCGGCACTTTTGCGAAATCTTGAGGAACGTGTCGCAAGCCATGTCCTGCACGCCCGGGTGCAGCTCGTGCATAAACTCAAAGAGCTTGTTGACGACCGTCTTGAGGAACTTCCAGTGCGCGCGGAGGAAGCGCGGGTACTGGCCGACCACGTACATGATGTTCGAAGCGACCACCGCCTTGTTGTCCTTCCCGCGCTTCATCTCGCAGAGCCCGAGGAGGTCCTTAATGACCGTGACGAGGAAGCGCTTCTCGTTCTCTTCGCTCATGGCGCCCGAGATGGACCCGATCGCCCAGCAGAGCGTGTTGAGGTTGTTCCACGACCAGCCGTTGCCCTCGACCTGGTCTGTGAGTTTCTCGAGCATGATGTTCTCCGTGTCGTCATAGTCGAGGTGCGTGAGGTACACGAGGCCTTCGTGCATCGTCTTGTACTGCGAGAGCGCCTCCGTGTCCTTGGTCGTCTCGCGCACAATCTCGCCATTCTCGTCTTCGACGATGAGCACCTCGGACGGCTTGACCATCTTGGAGATCATGACGACGCGGACGCGCGAGAGGATCGGCGCCAAGAGGCCCTTGCGCGTGATCGGCTCGTCTTCGCGCTTGGACGAGAGCGAGAGCACCGAGCTGCTCTGGTGCGACTGCTGCTGCATCTGGTTCTGGTCCACAGCGTACAGGTCGCGCGTAAAGAGGTGCCAGTAGTCGAGGCAGATCTTGAAGATGTTGTCGTCGTCAACCTCCGAGATGGACACGAGGTACGAAAAGCCTACACACCGATGAGCTCTCCCTATTGAAGACTTGTGGATCGCTATACCCGTGAGAAGCGCGACGTGCGCTTCGTCGTTGGCGCGGACGATCGGGCGCTCAATGACCTGGATCCGGTGGCGGAAAAAGTTGGTGAAGAAGAGCGAGAGGCCTTGCACAAAGACGCTGTCGTGGTTGTAGATGCGCTCAAACGACTGGCCGACGGGCACGAGGCGCGTGAGCTCCGTGAGGACGCCAATGTACATCTGCACAAAGACAGCGTCGTAGGACGGCGGCACGTCGCTGAGGTTGGCGATCTCGCTCAAGCACGCAATCGTGTCGTTGCGGAAGGCCGGCGTTCCGAGAAACTTCTTGACGAGCGTCTCGATGAGCGACGTCTCAAACACAAAGCCGAGCGGGATCCACGAGAGGAACCGGAGCAGCGTCTGGAGCGTGATCGTGAGCAGCGGGATGTGCGTCGACTTGTCCAGCACAAACTCGCAGAGCTTGAAGATCTGGATAAACTCGTGGTTGAGGCTCTCCTTGAGGCCCTTGGTCTTCTTCTCCGTCATCTGGTCCTTGGAAAAGTCGAAAATCTCTTCGCTGAGGAGCTTGAGGATGAGCATGTTGTTCTCGCAAAGCACTTCCGACGTCTGGCTCGACGTGCAAATGTCCGTGATGAACGACGGCCAGTTCTGCGGCCACTCGTGCTTGAGCACCTGTTGCCATTGGCGCATGAGCGGTCTATTGACATGAAGAAAGGACAGGTGTACCTGGACGAGCACGAGGTTCATCTTGTTGATGAAGAGGCGTTCCTTGCGCAGCGTGGCCTCGTCCGCCGACATCTACATGTCATTGTGAGACTCGTTTCGCAAAGATGCCACGCGGTACCGTGAGGATCTTGCCCACAATGTACTGCTTGATGCCTTCCCGCTGGTCCTTGGGCATGGCGAACCATCTGTACTTGATCGCGTCTTCGAGGACCTAGGCGCGCATGAGCATACAGGCGAGGCGAGGCGGCCGCCGCTTGGCGCGCGGCCAGCGACCGCCAGCGAAGCTTCTCGGATGGTACCTGCAGGCCAAAGTACTTGGTCGGCTGGTACGTCGACGTCTCGAGGATCTGCGAGACGCGGGTCCACGAGTCCTGGTGGTTCTGGAAGGCCACCATGATCTGGTTGGCGATCGCAATGTGGGGGCTGTTGGGGTTCTGCATGCACATGACGACCTCGTCCAAGGCTGCGACGTCGAGCGGGATGCTCATGTCCATCAACTTGGCGCCGACTTGTTCCATCGCTTCCTTGCCGCTTCCGTCGGCCCCTAACTTATTCTGTGCCCGAAATTCAAAGTGGGGTAAATATAAAAACCAACGCCACGTCGAATTTAATACACCAATGTCAAATGCCAGTCTGGCAACGCAGCCTCACTATGGATCTTTCCCGAAGTGGAATAAAATGACAAATAATTAAAAAGCAAGCCGCGAGATATCGACTTTGAGAGGTTTGTTTTACGAACATTCGCTCCAGCATACAGCGTTCCAGTCATAAATTGGAATGGGATCCCGGAGGGCGGCCAAAGCCTCCAGCATCTTATACACAAGATGCGATGTGGCAGGTATGCAATAGAAGAGGATGCCAAGTATTGGTTCCCTAGCATTGCGGTGGGTGGTCGTGCCCTCTGTGCGTTTAGTACACTGTTTTATATGTCGTTTGAAAAACAGTATAAAAAACAAGTTGACGTTGCGATACGGTAATCTCTACTGACCTTTGCGAAGATGGACATGGAGATGGAGCACGTTTTCTGTCGACATCCTTTCCATGCAGGCGTTCCCTCCGAGCCTCCAACGAGTCATAGTCGTACGTGGCATGTATACGTGTGCTGGCGACCCACGATAGCTCCGTGTGTTGCCCTTGGGGTCCCTCAAGATATGAATGAAGCATAGCATAACGCGTGTTTGGTGAAGGCCTCGAAGGAATCCTGCAGTAGGAATATCCTTCTGGATAATTCAGCAGATTCTTGCAGCTGTTCAAGCCCGGATCACAGCGACCGTATAAGTCTCGATATTGCATACTGATGCACTAGAGCAGTTAGCTTGTGCTCGTGGGGTAGTATTGTGGCAATCGATGTGCAGCAGGCGCCACCATCACACTGGCATGAGGACAAATCGATGATGGCTCGACGTTTCCTACATGTTTTAAACCTTACGATGTATAAAACATGGGCCGACAAAAACGTGGCACACCACCGTGACAGGACGGGCCGCAGAAGCAACTTCGGCGGCCCCTGTGCGACGCGGTCACGGTCGACTCGCAGAGGGTGAGACACCTCCACTGCGTGGTGGCCAGTTATCGTCGCACTTACTAATCTCGACCATCCTTCTCGTTGCTTTGCACCACACAACCAACGTTCACCGTGTCTCCACCCTCTACAGCTTGCATCGCAGTGATGTAAAACAAGACGATGCGCTTGTTGGGCAAGCCTACATACATAGCGTCACGCGATGGTGCGTCTGGAGCGTCCGTGAAAGCAGGTCGCGGTCGAGGGCCATGCCTCCGAGATGGATCGTCAGTGGCCGCGTCACATTCGTGCAAGCGTCGCAGAGGCCAGTGAGAAGCCGCGCCGCCGCCCCGTTGTCAAAAAAATTCGACGACAAGTCTACATGGACAAGGCCGTGCTGCCTCAAATGTGGCAGAGCCTTGGCAATCATCCCTGCGGCGGCCACGCTTAGTGCGCTGTTGGTCCACACGAGCGCCTGCAGACCGCGGGCAGCTCCAAGCCAGCTCAGAAAGCATCCGAGGAGCTCCAGAGGGATCACGGTGCGGTCCAAGCTCACGCGCCGAAGCCGAGAATGGGGTTGCAGCGCGCGCGTCGGTGGGCGCTGCCGACACCGGTGTAGTGCAATCTCTTCCAGCTCTGGAAACGCGTGCAGTCGCTGCCATAGGTCCGTGAGGTCCCGCGGCGTATGACATGCAAAAACGACCTTTCGGATCGTACTCAAGTTCACGTGGCCAAGGAGCGAAGCCATGTTGGTGGTTGGCATGATACCTTGCAGCTCGAGCGACGTGAGATGCAATTGCAGCGGCGGCTTGTTCACGCTGTGGGATGCAGTTGAGAACGCGCGTCCCAGCGACGACCGACAGCTCAGTGCGAGATGATTGAGGGACGGTGACGCGGCCAGCGCACGCAGAACGGCGTCGTCGTCGGTCGTGCCACAGGACAAACATAGCGTCGTCGCAGTTGGTGATCGCAGCCAATCGACCACTGGGCCGTGCGCCACCCTCTCGCTCGAGGCCACTGTGTGAATGGCCAAGCTGCGCACGCGGAGCGCAGATGAGACGATGGCGCCGACGACATCGGGCACAACCATCTTCTTCAAGACGATGCGGGTCAAGCTGGTGCAGCGCTCCAAGGCAGAGCAAACTCGCGCAATTTCGATGGTGTTCTTGATGACACTACCATGGATGTGCAGCGTCGTGACGCTCATCGCCCATCGATCGAGGATGAGAGAGGACGCGGCGTCATGGACGGAAAGCTCGAGGCGGACTGTTCGCGGCAGCGCCAGCGGCCACTGCGCCAAGTCGAAAGGCTTTAATCCAGTGTATCGCACTTGCGTGAACGTTGCCAAGGTGGAGAGAGCGAGATCAATGCAATTGTCTGGGAGCGCATCAAGTGCGAGTGTGGGCCACTGTTGCTGGGCCCGGAGCAGCAGCCGCCGAAGCGCTGCCAGCGGCGCAGAGAGCATTGATAGCGCGCCCAAGAAGGCGAGGACCTCGGGCGCAGAGGCCATGTAGCGCACGACGTCCATGACGACCGGCGTGTCGTGCCATCGGGTCCGTGATCCACACGTCCGCTTGGCCATCACGCCCACAATAGCAAGCCCATCAACCGGCTGATATCCGGATGCAGACGCCGGTGACTTCTAAAACAGTGGATTAAACAGTGTTTGCCGGGCGATGCCAGATCCTGGGATGTAGGTGTTGGTTGAAGTGTTGTCTCCTCGGACACTGCAAGGGCATCAGACCAAATGGGAAAAAATCCAAACTGGGGCAAACGACGACCTTGATGGGGCCTTTGACCATCGAGATCGTGACATATTGGCGGTGTAGTCTGCGGCGTCTACACAAGCTACCTCCAGTGTCCTCCTCGGACATGCACGAGCAGCGCGCAACCGCTCGCCATCGGTGTCAACCATGTCGCGTATCTGGGTATTGCAGTATAATCTAGAATCGGTCTTGCAATCGGATCTAAATGTTGTCCTGTACTTTTGGACAAAATCGGATGCAAGCCACTGGAATCGTGGCGCAGAATGTTGGTCACCAGTTGAAGTTGCCACTGCCGACACTTCTCTCGCTGCACCAGGACTAAACTATGCACTAGATATTTAAATGGTAAGTGTCTTAAATACGAGTCGTCGACTTGAGCGAACGAGAGAGTTATGGGGTCTTGGTCTCTTCGTCGTCGCTGTAGTACCGGTGCGACGAGCGCATCGACGATCGGAGCTCATCAATGACGCGGTCCCGCTACGTTCAAGTCTTGGCTTCGTCTCTAGTAACCTCTTCGGCGCGCGTACCTCGTCGAGCTCCTTCTCGTACTTGGCTGCAAACTTGCGAAACTTGGTGCGCGAATGTTCCAGTTGCTGCCAAACTGTGTTATGCGCTTCAGTTGACGGAGTAGTGGATACCTGAATCGTCGCATCTTGCTTGGCCAGTCGATCTTCCAGCGCTTTGCAGCGTGCTTCGGCTTCGGCCATAAAGTTGGACGAGGCGCGTGACCCGGACGAGGGCGTGCTCCGGGGCAGCGACGGCGGTGTGCCCCGGCCCACTGACGACGCGACGTACAAGGGCGAAACAGGACTGGGTTGCTGCTGTTGGTACACTTGCAACTGCGCCGCCATGGCCTCGCGTTCTTCCCGCGCGTCGGCGAGCTGCCCTTGGGTCGTCGCCATCTGAACGCGGAGCGACTGCAAGAGCGACTCGAGCTTGGCTTTTTCAGACGATATCGATGCCACCTGCTGCGAGAGCTCGGTCTTGTCGTGCAGGGCATGGTTGAGCCTAATATGCACTTTGAGAACAATGCGTTGCGGTTCTCTTCTTACCGAGCTTGGACGTGGCTGAGCTTTTGCTGGAGGCTCGACTTTTGCGCCACCGTCTCAAACCGCTCGGACGCGAGCTCCGAGGCGACATTGTGTTGCGACGACAGCGCCCCTTGGAGCATGGCCTGGGACCGCGACGCTTCCTCGGCTTGTTCTACACCCAAGGTTGTTGCGATTCTACAAGCTCACGTAGCTCTGCACCTGCCGACCGCTCGAGTTGCAACGAGAGCTGCTTGATTTGATCCATGAGAATCGTTCGCTCGGCGCGAAGCTCAGCGACGTGCTGCGTCGCGGCCTCCTTCTCCAACAGCACCGACTGCATCTAGCGACAATATGTATAAGTCCTCGTACGAGAGAAACACCATTGTACCTGCTTGCGAAGCGAGTCGTTGATCGCACTTGTCTCTTCGCGACGGTGGCTCAGCTGCTGCCGCGTCGTGTCGAGGGCGTCCATCTCGAGCACGGCCGCGCGGTACGACTGCTTGACGTCGTCGAGCTCGATCTGTAAAGAATCTCGCTCGCGCTCAACCGTGCGCACGTGCGCATGCAATGCGCGATGGTCTTCTTCAACTTGGTCTATCGAAAAGAGGGTTAGACGGTCTCAAATACAGGTAGTCGTACCGAGCTCAAAGTGCAGCTTGGTGCATTCGTTCGAGAGTGATTGGTTCTCGACCGTCATGTGCTGCAGATCCTGCTGCAGCGCCACGTGCTCGGCGGCGCGCAAGCTCACGTCGTCCGTCGCTTTGGAAAGCGCGGTTGATGTTGCGTCGAGCTGCTTTTGGAGAAACGACACTTCGTCTTCCTTGGCGTTCAGTGCGTGCTCGAGCTTGCTCAGCTGTTGCTCGCAGTCTAAAGTATACTATGGTGAGATACGAGACTCGTTGTCCGTAGAGTGTACCTTGCACGTGAAGTCGCAGTCGGGTGTACTCTTCTTGGGACGCGTGGAGCTGCTGCGTGAGCGCATCGGCCGACTCGGTCTTGAGGTCGACGCTGTTGTGGAGGCTGTCGTTCTCGGCATCGAGCGTCTGGACGACGTCTTTCAGATGCGCGATCTCTGCGTTCGCAGCCGCCACTGTGGCGCGGAGATCGTCGACAAGAGCGTGGACTTGAGACGTTTTCTGGCCCTGGAACGACGCGTCGAGCTGCGCTTGCTTGGACTGCAGCTGTAGTGCGTCACGCGAGTGCTCCATCTCGTGCAGCAAGTGACGGAGCTGGGTCTTGTCTTGTTCGAGGACGAGCGCGCGCTCCGAAAGTTGCGCCGTCTCCTCGCCAAGTCGCTTGACTTGGACCTCGAGCGACGCGCAGCGTGCCGCGTGCGTCTGTCCGTCCTCCTTGGCCAGCGTCCACTGCCGCTCGAGACCGGACCGCGTCGCCTTGGCTTGCTCGAGCTGCTGCTCCAGTTGGCTACCTGTACAAGAATAATGAAGATACGTTTGGAGCGACACGGGTGGTGTATACTCTTAGCCTGCGCGCGGTGAAGCTGCGCTGTGAGGTCCTGGACCTGCCGCGCCACTTGCGCATGCAGCTGCCGCGTCGCATGGTGCGATCGCTCTTCCTGTTGCAGCGTTGCTGCGCACTCGGAAAGTTCGTCCGAGACGCGCTCAAACTCGGTCTTGAAATACAGCTTCCCTTGCTGCGCCGCCGACGCATCAGCACCTGCGGTCGCCACTGCGCGCGCTTCTTCGTCGAGCTCTAGTCGCAGCTGAGCTAGCTGGTCGTGCGCACCCCGAAGGTCGTCTTGCGTCTAGATGCAGAGGTAAGTCGGGGCTTACTATACAATGGTAGGACCTTTTCGAGCTGCTTGCGAAGCATCGACTGCGACGCTGTGAGCGCGGCGACTTGCGTCTCGGCCTGCGTCTTCTCAAGCAGCGCGGCTTGGCAGCGCTGCTGAAAGATGACGCTGTCTTGCTTGCCCTTGACTAGATGTAGAATGTGAGCACGCGAATAGAAGGAAGCTGGACCTTGATCTTGCTGGACTTGCTTGTACCACTCGAGCTGCCGGCTCGCCTCATTGCACTGGAGCTCGAGCCGCATGGCCGTTTCCTGGTACTCGATCGCGTCGGCCTTGAGGCGCTTAAGCTGATTGGTCACGTCGGCCGTCTCGGCTTGCGACCGCTGTAGTTGCTGGTGCACAAGTTCGACCTGCGCTTCGGCCTCGCGCACCCGCGCGTCGTTGGCCAAAAGCGCCTCGCGACTGGACGCGAGCTGCACGTCGAGCTGCACCTTGTCTTTGCGCAGCGCATCGATTTCGTCTTGACGGTTGGAGGTCGTGCAAACTTGACGCTCGCGTGTCTCGTCGTCCACACGCGCTTGGAGCGCGCGCTGGGTCTGCAGGAGGGACTCGATGCGGCTTTGGAGCTCGGCGACGTGGCGCTCGGCGTCTTCCTGGGCGACGCGCCGCCGCCGCAGCTGCGCATCCCGCTCGTCGACAGCCGCCTCTAGCGACGCGACCTTGGCCGAGAGCTCGGCCGTTGTTTCCAGCGACCGCGTCTTGTCGCTTGCTTGCAGTCCCAAGTTGGATCGGAGAATCTCAAGTTCGCGCTCGTGGGCCTCTTTTTGGAGCACGAGCTCCTTGCGCGCGAGCTCGAGCTCGCTCACCTTGGTGTGCAACGCGAGGACCTTGGGTCGCAGCTGAGCTAGCTCTGACGCGCTCGCAGAGGCTTGCGCCTGAGCGTCAGACACGGCGTGCGACGACGCTACCTTGTCGTACGACGACGACGTCATGGTATTCTCGAGCGCCTAACCAAAAGCTCAATAAATGTGTCCGTTAATTTGGGATAAGTACCGCAATCCGAGCTTTTTGCGTGGCGATTTGGTCGTTGGCGTTGGAGAGCGCGAGCTCGAGCTTCGCGAGCGCCTGCGCTTGCTCGTCGTACGACGTTGTGCACGAGGCGTGCTCGGCCTCGAGCGCTTGGAGTGCACGCGTCGTCGTCTCGAGCTCGTGCAGGTATTGTCGGTTCTGATCTTGCACGAGTCTAGACAGTGTGTGAACGCGAGGTGCGCGAATTGGGACACAAACGTAAGCTGCTGGGTCGTGTACTTGGCGTGGTCGACTTCATCTTTGGACGCGTGGAGCTTGCGCTCGTACTTGGCGACTTGCTCGTTGAGGAGATCGACTTGATGCAGCAGCTGCTCATGCTCGAGCTGCTGCTCAAGGTGGTAGGCTTCCATATCGTACATGGCCTTGATCTACAGTCATGACGAATCCGTAGGTGCATGCACAAAGGAAACGGTACCTCGGCAAAGTTCTTGGACTGGTGACCGTCCTTTAGCAGGTTCCCAAGCCGGTCAATCTCGGCTTCGCGCGACACAATGTGGGCTTCGAGCTGCTGCACTTGGTGATGAAGCGCCTTGTTGTCCACGCTCAAGCTCTGGAACTGCCGCTGCCTGGACGTAAACAACGTGGTCGGAGATGGCGGTCACATAGCGTCGAGCGTACCATGCATCATCACCAGAGACGTCGGGTACGGGCGGCGCGGGCGCCTGCGTGCGCTTGGCATCGGGCAGCTGTCTCTTCATCTCGATCGACGTATCGTCGCCGGGCTTGGCCTCGAAGCGCTGGAGCTGGGCGTAGAGCTTTTGCAGTTCCGTGTCCTACAATAGCAATACATGAGCAAGCGCGATCGCAGCAGCGAGCGTATTACCTTCTTTTGCAGCTGCTGCGACTTTTGCGCGTTGAGGAACGTAAGCTCTTGGACGCGGTGGTCCATGTCCTTCTCCAGCGTGGTCATGACCGTGGCCTTGGCCTCAAGCTCTTCCTGGCACCGAATGAGCTCGAGATGGAGCGCGTTGTTCTCACGCAGGAGGGCATGGTTCTCCTTCTGGAGCACGAGGAAGCTCTACGCCATGGCCATGAGGCGGCGGTCGCCAGCGCCGACGTCGTACCTCCTGCGTCATGCTCCTCTGAAATTCGAATTGGGCGAATTGAGAGCTGTCAAATTATTATTCGCGATGGCAGAGACTGCTTAGTATTATCAAGGTGTTTTTATTCAATCAAGTCGAAAACACATATTTTAATACGGAATCCGCGGCGAGGATTGGCTCGTTTTCTGGAGGGAAGGACGCCATTTGAATCCTTATCCGGCAAATCCGGTAAACAGTCCTGGCAGCTCCGCTTGATGCCTGTCGGCTTGACACGCAAAGGCCGTCTGCAGGGGAGCTGTTGTGGTCGTCGCGATATATAGGGACGATGCAAGAGTGCAGGCAATGATGGGAGTTTACTGCGCAGCTGCAGTAGTAACAAGTTGTTGTTGAAGTGAGTCTATTTAGATATAATTCAGTAGTAACAAATTATTCGAGTACATCAAAGTCGGTGAGGTGTTGCTCAAGCAGCGACAGCAGAGGAACGTATCCACTTCGATGCTAGGAGCCACGAGGTATACACAACGGGATGAAATGAATTTGTATTTATGGATCGCCCGCTGGGGGCAGCACGCTGGAGCGTCTCTCGAGTGGTTCTACGCGATGCCGGAGGTAAGACACAACGACGGCTAGCATCAAGATAAGCTGCTCGCATGGCTCGCCGAGTATTTGGCCGATATCATCGCGCTCATGGACGGCAGCCACATCCCGGACAATGCGCACAGCACCTTGGACGTCGCGTCGACTCTTGCATGTAATACATCATGCAAATGCAAATGTAAACAATGGACGATTGGGACGCTTAGTAATTGGCATTTGCGTGCTCGAGACAGAGCGCGACAACCTTGAGATGGTCCTTGCAGACCTCAAGCAGGCCCAAGGCTGACGAGGCCAAGGCGCTCAATATGGCAGCGCAGGGAAATGCAGCTCTGAAGTCGACGGTCACGTCGCTCAAGGCGAGTAGCGACATCCTGCAGGAGACAGTGAAGGGCCTGAAGGCCACGATTACCCGGCACGATACGGCTGGGGCGTTCTCGGAGAAAGAGAAGCTCTTCTGCCGTGAGCCCGACGACCTGCAGCGCCCAGCAAAAGAGACCCACACGCAGCAGCCAGTCTACAGCAGCATCTCGTGCGCTTTGCGGCGCTTCCTACTCACAAGGCTGGCATCGAAGAACTTTCCGCTGCTCGAGGAAGAATCCTTGCCTGGGTCGAAAAAACCTGATTTGGCTCAGGTTGAGTCTGCACTCAGTGCAGAGACTCTACGCAACGTTGCGCCTCGGAGTGCTGGGCGCCCGAGAACGCTAGGTGCGCGAGGCTTGGGATACTAGGATAATACGAGCCAAAAAGACAAAATGAATTGGTGGTTAATTGCCCGAAGGCGAGAACGCCCAGTCCTGTTCAAACTCGATGCGGTGGCGTCGACCGTGGTCTTCGAGACGTTGCTGGTCGTCGTCCGCCCAATCGGCGTCGTACTTGAACTGGAGCGAAACCTTGGACGTGGCGCGGAGCACTGTCACGATGCGCTTGCGGCCCGCGAGCCCGAGCCCCATGTCACGGACTTGGAGCTGGATCTCGTTCGTGTTGCGCGTTTGGCGCAGCGCTGCAGTGAGCTGCGTGCTGCTGGCCTTGGAGATGCGCAGGGCCACATAACTCGTGTCGCGTCGGCGGCTCAGCCACCCCGAGAGCGCGAGGAGGATTCCACTCATTTGGGCGTCCGAGAGCGGTGTCTCGCTAATGTTGAGGCGCCCAAGCTGCTGCGACGACGTGAGCAGCAGCACGATACCCTCCACAACATCGTTGGTCACGGTAACGCTCGGTAGCACGAGCGCCTGCAGCTGGGGCATGGGGGGCAGCGCCGTCAAGCGTGCGTTCTCGAGCTTGATCTTGCGCAGCGTTGGAATCGACGCCAGCACGCGCACGATCTGCGTCACGTCGACAGGCTCGACCATGGCCAAGGCGAAGCCCACGAGACGCGAGCCTGCAATCTTGGCAGCGAACGCCTCGGCCGGGAGCTTCTCCCGACGGAGTGCGAGGCGGCGCAGCTGCGGCGGCACTGGCGGCAGCGATAAGTCCAAGAGGAACCGCGTGACGTTGGGCACGAGGAGGAGCTTGAGCATCGTCAAGGTCGTCGATGCCAGCATCGTGTGGGCTACCTTCTTGGCTGCCGCAGGGGCAAAGTCGATGCCAATGATCTTTAATTCGCGCGTGTTTGGTCGCGCGAGCCACGCCACCAAACTAGAGGCGTTGTCGAGCAGCGAGAGTCGGTCGACTGAGAGCCGAAGGCGGCGCAGCCGCGGGCACGACGCGCGAATGACGCCAAGGACGTCGTCGAGCTGGCCTTGGTCGACGCTACCAAACTGCCAGTGGATGTAGAGCGCGCGGAGCTGGGCGCAGTGGGCGAGTGCTCGAGGATCGAGCCGCATCATGAAGGGTACGTTGATGGCCATGAGCGTGATCGACTCGACCCAGTCGCCATAGTTGGCACGTAGGCGTGGGACGTCGTGGACGTAAGCGTGAATCGTGGTCGACGGCGCACGGCCCACGCGGCTGCGGTTCGCGCGGAGCCAGCTCTCATCGACGCACAGCGTTCGCATCGCCGGCAGCGCCCGAGCAAGCATCGAGACATCCACCCCGGGCATGGCCTGCGTGTTGGGGAAGGGCCAGAGATGGTACATGTGGCCTGGCGCGAGGAGCGTTCGGAGCGCATCCAAGGCGTCGTCAATGGCGGACGTCGGCAGCGCGCAGAGGAAGGCCGCAACGTCGTCGGCGTCGTAGACGCATTGGACGATCTGACGCACGATCGGCGGCAGCCACACTTGCGTTGCCATGGATTTTGGAAATGGTGTGGGAAATGTGGAAAAGAGGTGAAAATACCAGCGGTGGTGCGGTGCAGGCCTTTTCCACGCTTTCTTTTTAAAATAAAACAAATAATATCGTGCAAAGTGGAGTAGTGCATACATTTGAATGCTTCTTTGACGAAATCGGTAATTAAAATAATGTTGCGTTTTATTTTCAGCGTTTGGATCCTTATCCGGATAAACCATGACGTGGCAGCTGGACGCGGAGCTTTGCGTCGCTCGGCGGGATCAAGGGTATATAAGATCTCTTATATACCCTTGGCAGGATCCTGCAGCGCACATCACGGTGCCGGCACCATGCATTGACCGACATGCATATATCTCCAAGTTGATTGCGGAGTATGAACCTAGAAACACCTAATCTTATCAAGTGGCGGCACGAGATTCGCGAGTGGCATGAATGTGGTGTTCCCATCTCACTGCAGAAGAGGTGGTGTCGATATCAAATGTACTATTTTCTTAAAACGATGCTATGAGATGGAGGAACGTGTCGGGATCTTTGCTTGCGTCTTGCGCCCACAGGTGGCTCTACAACCAAAGGACATGAGCGTAGATCCATCAATGCAAAGTTGTTTGTACCTGACATGTCCTACGGCGTGTGCAAGAAGCAAAGCCGGTAGCCCGAGGTCGCGTCGTGAAGCTGCGAGCAGCAACCGAGGACGCTGCATCGCTGTAGCGCGAGATTGGTGTGGAGCGTCGTAAGGCCCCAAAATGATCCATGACCAGGCAGCGCGTGCTGCTTCAGGCCGTTGTACGCGAGAGAAAGGTCTGCAGCGCCTCGTCCTGCTCGGCTGGTGTCGCGCTCGTCTTGTACAAAAGTGGATCCTCGGCGCGCGGAGCACGGAGACGAGCGTCGGGCGCGGCACGACGTTCTGTGGCGTGGGCATCGACCGCTGGGCGTGGGGCCGCGGAGGGTGCAGGAATCCATAATGCAAGAAATAAAAGGAGTCGTGTCGGTCGTCAGCCTTCATGTTGCCTTCTTGGTCATCGTCTGGAGCGTTCTTCAAGGAGAGTGATGCCTACGACGAGACCGTACCGCAGCTGGTCCGCGCCGCTCGATCCGCAACAATCGAGCGGTGTAAAGCAATCGTGGTATGCTTGGCAACGCGCCACATCATCTTGTCGAGCGCCTTGATCGTGGTCGGCAGCTACGCTCTTGCTCGACGGCCGTTCCGAGCTGGGCGTTGATAGGCGCAGCGTCGTCGATACCGGTCTCGTGAAAGCTCTCGTGAAGCACCCCACTTGTTGCAGCTGCACTCGATCCAGTGGTGTGCACCTCTACGATAGACGCTGGCAACTTTCAAATCGAGGTTTACGGTATAGGAGCCACACTGCGGTCGGAAGATGAGCAGGTTTCGCTTGACGGCAATAATGGCTCGAACGACGAGCCCAAGGGATCTCGTTGGACCTGCATTTTTTTTCAATGCATGGATAGAACGCGTCAAAATGGCTTGGACAAGTAACATCACGCTAACGTCGCTGGTGTTTATTGATGTCCTTGAAATATGGATGGCTCTATCGATGGCGCCGGCTATGACGAGCAGGCGCAGTCCTCGTCGTCATGAAAGCGGGCGGCCAGCGGCGGTTCGAGCGGCTGGATGTGCACCGGTGGCTCGAGCGGCGAAATTAGAACAGAGATGGCCGTCCCGATCTTCTCGTCGTTGACGCAGACGCTAAAGTAAGCGTCCACGAGCTGCATGACAAAATACTCTTCGATCACGATGGGCGTGAAGCGCAGGTCCAAGTGCTCGCGAAAGAGTGTCGTCGTGTTGGCACGGAGCACCTACGCACCAATAGTATTTTCGAACATTTGTCCTAAATGTATCAATCTATCGACCTGGATAAAGTCCGCGTTGGACGTGGCGGTCTTGGCACCGCACGTCGAGAGAAAGCACTCCTTGAGCGACATGTCGATCGCATCGCCGAGCACCGAGACGAGCGTGTTAACCACATGACTGACAATGTAGTCTTCCATCGGGCGCGGGATCGAGACCGGCAGTGGCAGCTGCAGCAAATTTTGACATTGCTCGCGGATCAAATTGACGTTTTCAATGCCCATAGCGCCACTATCGACAAAAAAGGTTATGAGACAAATGCACAACAAGACAATCCGAGACAACGCACCGAATGAAAATGCCAATCAGCGGCAGTGGCGGTATCTCCTTGTCGAGGATTTCGTCGAGCTTGGACTCGCCCATGGCATCCGAGACAACCGCGACGACGCCGTGGATGACGAGGTTCTGGTCTTCGTCGCTGAGGTATGGCAGCTGCATGACCGACTGGAGAAACGTGACCATGCGGCCACGGAGCACCTCGCGCTCTTCTTCGGGCAGCGGCTTGGACGTCAAGATGCCTACCGTGCGATGAGCGCACATATGTTGTCATCGCAAAACGTTGTGCACATAGCGTACGGGACCAGTAGGACTTGGGCAAAAAGTCCTGCATGGACGTGATGATACGCTCGACCGCGTGCTCGAAAATCTCTTGCTCTTCGTCCTCGTCCATGTACGGCAAGTCGACAATGCCGTTGATGAGTGTTGCGAGCTTCTTGATCTACAAATACTTTTGGCGCCATAGTACGCCACACGCTGTGAGCATACCAACTTGGACGGCAGCGGCGCGGCTTCTTGCTGCGCCACGCTGCTTGGTGCAACGACGGCGAGGGTCGCGAGCCCTGCTGCCGCCAGCGTCGAGAGCATCGGCGCTGCAGACGCCTTTGGCGCATGGAAGGCGTGGGTCAAGAGCGCTGGGCGCCGACGTGTGGCGGCCAAGAGCCGGCGGGCGACGTGCTTGTGCATCGCACCTCGTGGAATGGTGTCGCAGCTTCAATGGTGTCCGAATCCCTGCTCTGCCATGCAAGAAGGGAGTTGCCCGTCTTGTTTTACACTATTTCATGTTGCTGACGTTTTAGGAACCGCAACTTGGGCCGCGGAAAGGGACGCAAATCCAAGCAAAGAAGCCTGTAGAGTGCGTAGGCTGTTGACGCGACAATTTGCGAAGTACTTTACAAGCTCGAAAGGAGGCAAGACTGTACATGGCATGCCATGCGAAATTACGTTTTGGCGCTTGTGGCCATTGAAGATACACTATAAAGTGCACTTATCTTGGATATATAGTGTAGAACGAAATATCATCTTGGTACAAACGTTGAGTACAGAAACACTATTTCCGTGACGTGCGTCAGGGTGGAAGTGGATATGCAATCTGAATATCTGGATATCAAGGGAGTTTCCCATCGCTTGTTGACATTTTTGGCGCTGGTTTTGGAAGCGTCATGCCCGACGCGTTCTTCCGTGCTATCGGCGTACCGACCCATGCCGATACGAACAGTGAGACAGTCGATGGAGACTACAGGACTATGTAGTCTCCATCGGCCCCAAGACGATACTGAAGCCGACGACGCGTCATCACTGCGTGACAACAAATTGGAGGACTAGCTCGTTGAAACGGTGGCGGGTTGGGCGTTGGGCTGCGTGGACGTGGCACCTCGAGCACTCTACGATTTGCATCATGATGTTTGGTCGATGCAACCGACGGCTGCTCCTGCAAGCCCACCGACACCCCGCGTGCCGGCTGCACTTTCCTGCGCCCCTCCCACATCCCCGACGTTTCACGAGCGCGCACGCATCGTCGGCACTTGTGACAGGCCTCGCGCTCCTGGCGTGTGTGGCATCAACAGCGCCTCTAGTTATCGAATGCGAAGCCAGCCACACGAAGCCGCCGCTGCCCCGACACCTCGTACGCCATCAACCAATCTCTCGTAACGTCATGCTGACATGTGGTGCTAGGTCGTGCACCTGGCGGCCATGATCAATGGCATCATCGATTTGCCGCAAATGGACGAACACGAAGAGCAAGAGATCTTTGAAGATGCCGTCGACAAGATCATTGCCGCGCTGCAGGACTTTCTACCCGCGTCGTACTGGACCCGTCCGTCCTCGGCCACCACTTGCAATAGACTCACATCAACACTGTGTTTAGGCATTCTCACCGACAAGTCGATCCCCGCCATCGAACGCGACATGCTTCGGCTGCGCCTTGTCACCTACCTTCAAGACGCTTTGCACTTGGCGTACTTGAGCGTCGAAGACCAGCACCTCGTCGTACACGCCGTCGTTGCGATCGTTGCCGACGCCATGGGGCCAACGACGCTGGCGACGATCGTAGCACAACCGACGCCGCCGTTGCACTTGGTGGGCATCTTTATCCGGTAGATCTCCCTTCCGGTTCAAAATCTTGAGGTATCGATATACTGTTCTGTAGTGGCGCCATGGGCATTGAGAACGTCGCGCACATTCGCGACGCGTTCCACCACGTCCTCGACTACTCGCTGCCGATTGCGATTCCCAAGCCGATCGAACATTACATTGTCGACGTGCCCACGGACGCTCTTGTCGGCGTGTTGAACCATGCGATCGAAGCGGCGTTGGTCGACTGTTTTGGCGCCTCACCACGCTACGTAATCGCGCGCGCCTCTGACTTTCACGAGGTATAACCTTCCGTGTACTATAGTCTAGTCGCCGTGGTTTAGTACAATGTGATTTTTTGTCGTGACTAGGTGCTGCGTGCCAAGATAGTGACGCTTCTAGAGGTGAAAACACAGCTGCACTTGTGCCCCTTGGTGCTGCGCCGACGCGTCATTCATGCCCTTGTCGACACGTATTTTAAGCTCTGCGTCAAACCCGCCAAGATCGACGCCGCGATTGCCCCGTTCCTCGCAAAGACAAGCGGCGAGCACCCGATACGGTCGAACACGACCCTGGCGTCCGAGCCGTCGCTGCTGCCTCTGGACGTACGGCAGCAACTCTCTGCGATGGACGTGGTAACGACACCATCGCGCATCAAAGCCCGCGCAGGAACCAGCATCCACGACATGTTGTTGCTGGAGAAATGAACATTGTTGAATACAAGTAGTCCTTTTCATCCTAAAACACCCATTGATAGTACAAGTGCGAGGACTAGCTGCAGCGCGTGTGACGCATGGGCTGGCAGTCGAGTGGACGTGTCGTCAGTTGGTGCAATTGGGTGTAGTAGCACTGGCAGCCAGCGCCTCCTCGACGGCGGGGATCTCCCATAGATGGGGATTACTCGCCACACATTGCAAAGATCCAAGCGACGGCAAACAAGGCGATGGACAGCGTCAACTGAGGGGCCAAGCCCGCCGACGTCACGGCGACGACACCACCAAACGACTCGGTCGACCACGACGCGCACGCTGATGGGTGCGTTCGATCGTGCTAGCGGTCGTGCGTCGAGTGGCTCGTTTCTGGCGCCAGCGCCACTCTTGCTGGCACCCAGCCACCATAACGAGAACCGCCAAAGCATGACGAGTCTCTTTCGGCGCAAGCCTTACGAGACGGTGCCCAAGCATCTGCACGAGGCCACGCCGCGTCGCGGCTTCGAAAAGTGGATCGACAAGGTCTTCCACAGCGACAAGGCGCCGGCAAATACCAAGCAGTGTACGTGCCGGCGACGGCTCGCGCCCCTTCGAGCCAAGACCCGCGTCTACGCGACGCCAGTGACCGTCGCCCTCCCGATCAAGTACATGCACGCACCAAAGAAGACATACCTTGTGAGCGGTCGCTTGGTGCCCTTCACGCCGCTGCAAGTGGCCAACTGGAAGGACCTGCGGCGCACGTTTGGGACCTTTGCGGCGATCAAGGAGGAGCGTAGCACGTGCGACTACTGCCAGTGCAAAAACAACGCCACGCGCGACTCTCTCGAGGACGTCGACGATGAGTACTAGAGGCTTCGACGTGAACATAAGATCTTATTGAAGAACTGTTTTATTCAAAATGCTGATTTGCAATTTGTCCTAGTTCTATCGTGTAGCGATTTCCCGAAGCTCGACTTTGGACGCGTTGATGTGTCCACAAAGCCATGTTGGTGACTGTACTATGTGGTTGGTGAACCGCACGTTGGAACGGAAGGAAAAACTTGCCCACACGAGCGAGAAACTTTGGTGCTGCTGTATCTACACTCGTCGGTTCGTCGAGTAGAAGCGGGTTGAATCTTCTTCGTCTTTGCACATTTGTCTGCGCAACCCGTGTAATGGCAGATCGACTAACCGACTGAAAATTTGCCCACAGATCACGCTCGTCATACGTGGGCCAATCAGCGCATGAATTCAAAAGAGCCGGCGGCGATTTGCACCAATCACGCCTTCGCATGGCATCCTTCGCGCGTTCGCCGAAGCTTCCGATTGGCGCCATTGACAACATTCATAAAAGAATGTTGGTATGTTGGCGACCATGCGACAGTCGGCGGGACGACTCCTGCAGTCGTTCGGCGCAGCTGCCGAGTGCTGGCACCACCAGGAAGGAGTAGTATCAAATTTACCATGCCTTGCATTCTTCCCACACGATCATCCGAGCCCTGCGGCGCCAAGGGCCCGCGCGGCCTCAAGCGATGGTTTCAAAGTATCTTCAAGCCGACCAGCGCCAAGTGCGCCTGTCGGAAACCCTTCAAGCCAACGCGATCCAAGATCAAGGTGTCCAAACCAAAGCCTTGCTACAATCCGGTCTTTGTCGCCATTCCTCTCAAGTACGCCTCGGAGCACAAGCGGTCGCTTGTCGTCGCCGGTCGCCGTGTGCCCTTCACACCGTCCCAAGTCTCCCAATGGAAAGAGCTGCGCAGAGAATCCAGCGTCCTCTTCCCACCGATCGAAGAAGAGACCCATCTTTGCGACCACTGCTTGTGCAAAAGCAATGCCACGACGCACGAAGACGACGACGACGACGAGTACTAAGTTCCTAGATAGACTTTCTTATTTATGCACACACCTTGCCACCTCGATCTGTCCCGAACACGCATCCTTGATACCACCAAGGATCATGTTGAAGTTGGTGGGCCGCAATCTGATTAATTTTTAGAGAATAGAAATTGGTTTTCGGGAGTGCGGGCGGACGAAGCCTGGCCAAGCATTTCTGCTTCGGCTGCTAAAGGCAAAAGTCAACCCGCCGCGCCACACCCGATTGCCGGTTTAGCCCCAAGCCTCGCGTTCCACGCCTCTGCTTGCACAGCAAGGTAGCAAACGTAGGAAAATCAGCCTTTCTTGATCTATCATCGAATGGTCGACGCTGTCAGAAACGCAAGGACACATTGGACCGCTGGTCTCGAAGATTTTCAGTCAACGGACACCTCAGCTAAGCTGAAGTTGTTGTTGAAGTGAGTCTAGCTAGATCTAGCCAAGCTAAAGTATTGGGTGCGAGAGACAACCACAACGGGTCTGGCAACGGGTAGCAATCGTGGAATGCTATCCACTCCGACGCTGAGCCATTGATGATGGTGATGGATGTCAAATCGGTGACGTGTGCCGAGTGTTTATGCCGTGGCGCTGCCGTGGCGTACCGCAGGCGCCATCGACTGGCTCTGTGCACACGACACGGTTCTCGAACGACTAACCGGCGTGGTGAGAGTGCATGTCTTTCCACATACAATGGGTGTTCGGCCAATCACGAAGCCGTATTTGGCCCTACCCCTGGGTGGGAGCTGCGAGCGACCATGGCGCTTTCAGCGAACCTTCGGATTGGCCCATCGCACGTGGACAGAGTGTAGGTCCTGGTTAGTCAAGCCCATGTGACAAGGCAGCCTCGACATCCGAGCAGTGGTGTCGACGTCAGTATTGCATTTGCCGGCTCGACCACATAATGTTCAAAGTGTTTCGCCGCTCGACGCCCGAAGCGAACGTGAAGCCGACGCGCAACAACAGCGTCAAGGGCTGGTTCCAGCAAGTGATCCAGACCAACAACAACCACACCAAATGCACGTGCACCAAGCACAAGAAGAAGAAGGCGTCGACCAAGCCACGCAAGGTCAAGCCCTGCGTCGTCACGCCATTTGTCAAGATCCCGCGCAAATACGACGGCGACGAGCAGCGCCGCAGCATGTGTGTGGGCGGCGTCCGCGTCCCGTTCTTGCCCGCCCAAGTGAGTGCGTGGAAGCAGATCCGCCGGGACTTTGTCGATTTCACGCCCATCGAAGAGGAGGCGCACCGGTGCGAGTACTGCCTCTGCAAAAGTGACGTCACGGACGACTCGTTCGACGACGACGACGACGAGTATTGAACGATAGCGTCACTATTTATGAAATACATCCTGCTATTTATGCCCAACCTCGCTTTTACGACACTGCGATCATTAAAAAAAACAACGAATGGTTTCTAATCGTGGGAAAACCGACGAAAATCGACACGACCTTGGCGAATCTCGTGTTTGACGCTTGGTGCTCGTGAATAACTCGAAAAAGAGCTACAAAACTTGAATATTGCGCGACATAGTCGTTCTATTTTCATTGATTTTCATCGACGACCCAAGCCCGCACCAGCTCACTCGCAACGACTACGTGCAGGCCGCAACCGCCAACTATTCAGACATATCGGTAGCGCTACGCATGCCAAATCTCAAGAGCTCCTGTTCGAGACTCACTGATAAGTGACTGCGTTGAATTGTTGCCCCATGATTGGCCGCACTTTGTAACCGGTGGCTACTTGTTTTTGAGTCCTATTGTGGGTTAGCTATGGGTTTTATGTTATTAGCCCTTGTTTGCACACGATGCAAAATGCTGTTTCTGCAGAGGAGGACGTCGTGGGTGGTACCTATCGCTTTCTCAGTTTCGTTTTCTACTGATCAACTTTTCGTATGCATATCGGCATCTGCGAGCATCTTGGCGAGAAGAGCTGCGAGCAAGACGAATGTACTGTGCTTTGTATCAACCACTGCAACCGCGATCGCCACTTGTTTCGATCGTCGCCACCGACGCGTTTGCAAACAAGTAGCTTGCACACACTCTGCGCCAATGTTGGTCGTCGGCGCAACCGCTGGGAGCTCGCATTCCATTTTCCGATCGCCGGAGACAACATGTTTCGCCGCCGCACGTCCGACGCCCACGTCAAGGACGTCACCTCGATGAAGGACAGCGCCTTGGCCAGCACCGAGGTCAAGGGCTTCAAGCGCTGGTTCAAGACGCTCCGAGTCGCGCCGATGAGCAAGGGCCGGTGCACCTGCGCAAGGTCCGCGCCGGGTCCACCGCGGCGACGCCGCCGGACGACATACCAGCTAGTCGAGCCGCTGGCACTGCCACGCAAGTACGCGGCCGAGACACAGAAGAGCCAACTCGTGAGCGGGCGCCGCGTGCCCTTCCTACCCGACCAAGTCAACAACTGGAAGGCGATCCGCAGCGCGTTCCACGACTACGCGCCAATCGAAGAAGACCGACCGCTCTGCGACTATTGCTTGAGCAAGAGCGGAACCACCGAGTGGTCCGTCGAAGACGACGAGTACTGAGTGTTTGGCCAAATATTTATATCGTGCGTTGGCTGCTACGCGCTCCATGTCTGCGGTTAGGGGTTGTAGCGTGGCGTGGACAGTGTGTACGAGTTCATATCGTCCTGTTGGCCTACTGCCGGTCGAATCGAATCGTGTATTGCTTAGGACGCAGTCCTCGATCGACCAAGTGGGTCAAACGCACTCAAAGTGGGTCAAACGCACTCAAAGTGGGTCAAACGCACAAGCAACTGGCTTTGGTTTTGGCCAAGATGAGCCCCGAGGCTTTGCGCGACGTCAAATGACGTGAAGACGGCGAGCGTGGAAGCCATTTTAGAGTCGCGCACTGGCAGCTCCAGGCACATACAAGCTCGGATTAATGCAACGCGAGCAATGAGAAGAGTAGGTTGGTACGCTGACTTCAGCAGGAGACATGTCCTATGTCCTGCGGCACAGTCCTCGGTAGCTTCAAGAGGGGCAGCAGAGCGTACCCACATCATAGGAGGGCTGCGATACTGGAAACGACTGCGCTGCTGAACTCTGTGGTGTTGTTTTTGCAGGGACGAACGGCTAAACGCCTCGCGGCAAAGACAAATACCGCGGCGCCGTGTACTGTTCAAACGATGGGTGCTCCCTGACGCAGACCAGTTGCATTCGAACGTGCCCATTTATGGGGTGTATCTCAGACGCTCCAAGATCTGAGCACCATTGAAACGCATCGAGTAGCTTCCTCGGTGCATTGTGGTGACGCCGCCGCAGCAGTCACGAGATTACACTTGACAACATGTTGGCTTGTCGCCGAGGGAGACGTCCGCGAAACCAGGTCGCGTTCGATCCTAGAAAGGCGCGGCGACGTCGTGGGTGCGTGATTCGACTTGGCGTTCCTACCTTTGCATATGGCTAAACGCACACTATTTTTCAGTGTATCCTTGCTACCATTGAGCCCATAGAAACTTTCAGATTGCGTGCGACTAGCCTCACGAACAGCAACGGGAAAAGCGCACCGATTTCAAATGCCGCACCATTACGTGGCCAATTACACGGCGACCACGTGGTCTCCGGCAACCAAATGACCAGAGCCTCTGCCAGCGCGGTAGCGTTCCCGGGCGCCAGACCCTGTTAGCACCGAGTTCGACAGCGCTGGCTTGCGTGCTCTCCCGACTACTTCATTTTTCAACTTGCCAGCATGCGCGTTGCCACCATCCTCGCTACGGCCATTGCGTGCTCGACGGTCGCTGCCCGCTCAATGGCCGACGACCTCGTCCAGCAGCTCTTTGAGCTGCACAACAAGGAGCGCCAAGCCAACGGCGTCGCGCCCTTCGAGTGCCTCGACTCGCAGCTGAGCCAGCTCAGCGCCGATCACGTCAAATACGAAGTCTCGATCGACAACATCAACCACGACGGCTTCAGCGGCCGCTGCCAAAAGGTCGGCAACGTCGCTTGCGGTGAGAACACGTTGTACGACTTCAAGGGCGACGCGGCCAAGTTTACGCAGAGCTGGATGAACTCGCCGGGCCACCGCAAGAACATCTTGAACGGCGCCTACAAGCACGTGGGCTTTGCAGTCGAGAAGGGCCCGAGCGGCAAGTGGTTTGCGACGTCCATGTTCACGGACTCGAACCCGCGTTCGGACGTGTGCGGCGGCAGCAAGCCCGGCCCCGTGGCACCCACCGACGCGCCGTACACGCGCAAGCCGTCGGGCCCGACTGGCCCTCCGATCACCACGACCGCCAAGCCGACGGTCAAGCCCACGAAGCGCCCGCTTCCGACGGGACCACCGATCTCGCCGACGACCAAGCCGACCAAGCGCCCGACGCCCAAGACACCGACGCCGATTCCGTACACGAAGCGCCCAACAAAGCGCCCGACCACCGCGCCGACAAATGAGCCTTCGGACGAGCCGTCGGACGACCCGAGCTACGACCCGACCGACGCACCGTCCAACGACGATGTGGTCAAGCAGCTTTTCAAGTTCCACAACGAAGAGCGCCAGAAGAACGGCCTCAAGCCCTTCTCGTGCCTCAACTCGAAGCTGAGCTCGCTCTCGATGGACCACGTCAACTACGAGATCTCGATCGGCGACATCAACCACGACGGCTTCAGCGACCGCTGCCAGAAGGCCGGCAACTATGGCGGCTGTGGCGAAAACACTCTGTACGACTACGAGGGCGACGCGCGCGTCATGACGACGAGCTGGATGAACTCGGCCGGCCACCGCGCCAACATCCTCAACGGCGAGTACAACCACGTGGGCTTTGCCGTCAAGAAGGGCGGCGACAACCGCTACTACGCGACCGCAATGTTCACGCAGGACAGCCGAGCGTGCCAGTAGACATAATTTGTTTTATGTATCGCGTATTTTCACTATTTCCTTGTATTTGTTGGCGGAAATTTCGAGTTTGCCATTATGGCAAACGTCGACTAAAGTGCAAACTCGAGAGCAAAGTGCAATTTCGTCATGAGAAGAACACGGCAGTGCCTACCGGTACACCTTATAGCGATGCTTGCAGCAGACGATACCTGATTTTGCTTGTGCTACAATGCCAATACGAGGCGAAAAGAGCCGTACCAAATCGAACGTGGTTCGCACCGAGCTTACTCGCTCCGTGTATATCCTTGAGATAGGGTGGTCCCTTTTTACATACTAACTAGAAGTCGTCCTTGCTTTATGCATGAACACCACGCCATTGCCAGAGAGAGCTGGATACCCATCCTCATTCGAATGCGCCGTCGGAGTTGCACAGCACGTTCGAATCCCCATGGAGTCGCCCAAGTCACGCATTTCCACTGCAATTGTGGCTGCTTTGCGCCCAGCGGGACGCGCGGAAACCTCGCCATGTTCGGTGCACTGCGCCCGTCTCGACGCCGGAGATGGTGCATGATCAATCGCATTTTGAAATTGACCACGTTCTTCGCAATATGCGGATCATCATCGCTCTCTCTGCGCTTGCCGCCGCGTCGGTCAGCGCCCGCTCGATGGCCGACGACCTTGTCCAACAGCTCTTTGAGATACACAACCAAGAGCGCCAGAAGAACGGCGTCGCGCCATACTCGTGCCTCGACTCGCAGCTCAGTGAGCTCAGCATGGACCACGTCAAGTACGAGGTCTCGATCGACAACATCAACCACGACGGCTTTAGCGAGCGCTGCAACAAGGTGGGGCAGGTCGCTTGCGGTGAGAACACCTTGTACGACATGAAGGGCGATGCCGCCAAGTTCACGACAAGCTGGATGAACTCGCCGGGGCACCGCAAGAACATTTTGAACGGCGCGTTCAAGCACGCGGGCTTTGCAGTGCAGCAGTCGTCGAAATCGGGCAAGTGGTTTGCGACAGCCATGTTTGCCGACTCGAACCCCAACCCCAACACCTGCGGCGGCCCCAAGCCGACGCCCAAGCCCAAGCCCACAAAGAAGCCTACGGTTGTCCCGACGACCGACCCGACGACCGCGCCGCCGCTGCCCAAGCCCACCAAGAAACCCACAACCAAACCAACACTGCCGCCCACGGAAGCTCCGACCGATGACCCCGACGACGGTAGTTCGGATACCGATGAGCCCACGACGGCGCCGCCGCTGCCGAAGCCGACCAAAAAGCCGACCAAGAAGCCAACGCTGCGGCCCACGGAGGCTCCGACCGACGCCCCGGACGACGGTGATGACCCCACGACGGCGCCACCGCTACCCAAGCCGACCAAGAAGCCGACGAGCAAGCCGACGGCCAAGCCGGACGACAAGCTGTCGCAGCTCTTTGACTACCACAACGCCGAACGTAAAAAGGTGGGTCTCCCACCCTTCGAGTGCTTGGACACAAAGCTGAGCGCCATGGCGCTCGAGCACGTTAAGTACGAGATCAAGCTCGGCGACATCAACCACGACGGCTGGCTTGAGCGCTGCGCGGCCGCGGGCGCCGACCTCGCCAAGGGTGGCAAGTGCAGCGAAAATACGTTGTGGGACTACGACGGGATTCCCAAGTCGATGACGGAGGCGTGGATGAGCAGCTCGGGGCACCGCGCCAACATTGTGAGCCGCGACTTCAACCATGTGGGCTTTGGCGTCGAGCAAGGTCCGGACAAGCGCTGGTTTGCGACGGC